CATTCCTAGAAGAATCCTTTTTTTTTTTTTTTTCTTTTTGCCTACAGCATTCCTTTTGTTCTTCCACATGTTTATGCGGGATCGCTGCCACAGGAGGAAACAAAACCATTATTGGGAGTGTCTTCCTTTTACGACTCCACAACTGCCATTTTCACTGTACTGGTTTTTTAGGTCAAACCAAATAGACGAGATGCCCCTTTGGTCTCCAGGGTTCTAACGTTCTTATTACTAACATCTGGTTTTCTTTAATCCTGTTTGCCCACTCACCTGCTGATATTGATGGGGAAAAAGCAAAACTTCTTGAAGACTGTAAGTGTCTTTCTGTAATTACTAGGCAGTGTGAAAACTTGACCATGTCTTTGTTTTTGAATTAATGCTGTGAATTGAATGCACAACTTTATGATTTGTGACTAACGTCGTTTTAAGCATGTGCATTTACTATGGCTAAACATTGCATTTAAATACCAAGAAGCAAGTTTAATATTATCCCTGCATGAATTCTGAGGACTCAGGTATTTACTCTTTCTTTTGCCAATATTCTGCTCTACTAACTTCCAAGCTTTATTCACATCTGATGTAACTCAATGAGAAAATTCACAAAATTTAAAGGAAATTACTGTCTGGTTCTAAATGCCATTAAATGCTTGCTGGGCTTAAGGCTTGTCTTTTGATATCTTTCAGAAGGTGAGCACATATGCATAGGCTTCACCCAAGTCAGCAGCCATATGTACGCCTTGCCATACTTCTTCGGCCTGAGGACTGTATGGACTAGCGTTCCATCCACATTCCAGTGAATTTGAACATTGTTTTCAAGTGTGCAAACGACAAATAAGCAGTCCCCACTCACATCGTCTCCGAGCGGCTTGGTCTAAGCAAAACTTCTGCTGTCTTGGGCAGTGAGTGGGGCAGCATCTAGTATCTACCTAAAAAAGAGTTAAAAAAAAAAAGTTTTCAGGCATTTGAAAAAACCTTTGAGATTGGATTAACCAGGAAAACCATGTAAAATCACCTTTCCCCCTATCGCTTCGAAGCATTTGTTCATTGCCAGGGGACCTACGCGCTGTTCAGAGGTGTGGGTAAGCAGTACACTCCTGGCAGGTCAGAAATGGCATTGAACGGGCTCTCCTGCAGACGTGTGAACACAAGTTCTGGGTCTGAAACCACCAGACAGACCTCTGTCACTTGCAGAAAAATACAAGGAATTGGACTGAGTCACCCCAACAGTCCCCCCATCGGCCACCTGGGTGTCCACCATTCAGGTGTGAAATTCCAGGCTTCTGTCCGTCATCCCAAACTCTATACTCCCGGAGCCTAAAAGATTACTCAAAGATGAAGCTGGTCCAAATAAAAATGATTGTGATCATAATTTACACATAGCTAACACTGAACCACTACAGTATTGGCATGCCCTAAGAATTTTACGCACGTTCTTTAAGTTCATCCTCCTGGTGACCCTTGGAGGTAGACACCATAGATACCCCTTTTAAGCCCCATTTTCCCTCTAAGGAACTAAGGGCTTGCGACAGTTAGGAAACTGGCTTGAAGTCTCACAGCTGGTAAGAAGCAAACAGACTGGTTCTTAACCCCCAGACCAAAGTGCTAACCAGCACCGGGAACCGATAGGCCAGCAGGAGTGAGTGTTCGTTGTAAGGAGGCGGAGGTGAGGACAAGCAGCCGGCTGAGTGGGAGCCGGAGACAGGGGCAGCTCTTGCTAAATGGAGGAGGGAATGATAGTGCTGAGTATCCAGCATTTAGTAGGTGCGCAGTAAGAGAGGGCAGTCATGAGCTCTGCTTTTCGTCTGTCCTTTGGTGTTATTTGGATATTTAGTCAGAGCCAGCATTGTCGTGTCTGTTGTGGTGGACAGCAGCAAGACCAGAGACAAAACAAGCGAACAGAGAGACGTTTGCAGATGCATAGGACATTAGGCGCAGAAGTGGTAAAGTTAGCCCTGGCAACAATTAACCACGGTAAAGAAAGACAAGAGCAGAGGGCAATTACTAAGCTTCAGGAAGTGATCAGTTGGCAGGTGGAAGAGGTTTCACAAAGCACAGAGCATGGGCATGGAGGAAAGGGAAGAGCTGGAATATGAACAGCTGAAATGATCTAGGTGGCAGTGGGAGTGGGGCGGACTGTCCTGTAAGGTGTTTAGCAGCATCTCTGGCCTCTGCCCAACAGATTGCAGTACCACCTCCCCGCCCAGTGGTGACAACCACAATGGCCTCCAGAATGGCCCTGTGTCCCCCGAGGGGACCCTAGGTTGAAAACCACTGGTCTGTGTAAATGGCTTTCCCTGTCATCGTACAAGGCAGTGGCTCCTACGGGGAGAGTTTGGTTCTCTTCTCTGCCATGTGCCTTCCTAGTCAAGCCATTTTGTTGCCCTGAGCAACAAACGAGGTTGAAATAGATTATTTCCCCACTTCCTTCCTGTTCTTACATTCTGTGATTCTGATTTCACACGAAGGACGTGGTGATCTTACGAGTAACTTGAGCACTGGACGTGCAGATACCAGCTTCCTTCGGATTTAATTGTTCTGGGTCAGAACTCAGAATGTTCCTCATACGATTTGAAAATGAATGATCGGATAACCCTTTAAAGAGCAAAACGGAAATGCTGTCTCCTGTAACAGAGCACGTCCCAATTCCGCTGATCTTCTAAAGGAGACTCTTTTATCTTTGCTGCTGGTAGTCACCTACCACCTGCCTCTGATAAGACATGCCGACTCTCTGATTTAACCATTTTTAAATGGTAACTTCTCAAATTGATTTGTTCCCAATGTATATTAATTTACATTAGCACACTAAGGAACTCTAAGTCAGTTACTCTCTCCTAAGAAATGCCCGTTTACCTCCTAACTTAAATTTCACTGAGAAGCATTATTTGAGCCAAAAAAAAAAAAATCAGAAGAATTTCTCATTGTTACATCAGAAAAGAAACTGTCTTAATATCAAGCTTGTCTTGGTGATTGTTTTTCCAAACTCTTAGTTGGGGAAAATTGGCTCTGTGAGTCCATATAAAGTCACCAAAAGGAAGTTGTGCCTTGACTTCAAAGTTTTAGGAGACGTTTTGCTGAAAATCCAATGAGGTTTGTGCTGCCACCGTAGAAATTGCTAAAAGCATTTGGAGCATATTTAGTGTGGGGTGGGTGACTTGGATATAGACAGAATGATTTTTACGATGATCTTAAATGATTTCTTTACATTATTCCTCTTTCTACAATTAAGTGGTGCAGCCTCCAACCATTACTCAACAGTCTCCAAAAGATTACGTTATTGACCCTCGAGAGAATATTGTGATCCAGTGTGAGGCCAAAGGGAAGCCTCCTCCAAGGTGGGTGTGATTTCTGCTCTGTTCCACAACTGGAAATAAGCATCGCTATTAATATTGAAGTTAATTTCAGGTCCTGCCTATCTCTGAAGTATCATGTGTAGGCTCATGGTTTTGTCTTTCTGATGAATAAAAGAGTGTTCTTCTTGGAAACCCCCATAAATTGCATTTCTGTACTCACACCCTTCACAAAATGCTCAAAAAATGGTAGCAAGATGTGGAGGAAAGCCTTCTTCTAATGGCTCTCCTGCCCTTGTAACATGGACGCACCCATTTTTCTCTGGGCCTCATTTCTTCATCTGTAAAATAAGGAAGTTGAATTTAGTGACTTCAAAGATCTGTGCTTGCTCTGGAGAGGTCTATAAAATAGCCCTAAGTGGGTTTTCAGCCTTGGCAGGGCTCAGCACTCCGGATTCTCCATATGGATCTTGGCATGAGCATTGCACAGCATTTTAGAGGTGGGAGAGACGTGAGAGGTTATCTGGTCCAACTGATAGATTTTATAGACGGGAAACTGATGCCTGGTAATGCTTGGCAACGTAGCCAAGGTCCCTCAGCTGATTAGCAAATACTGTCACTTCTGCAGTAACATATGGGAGTTTAGGAGAGTTGGGTTACTATTGTTAAAATGTAATGTGGATTTTTAAGTAAGAAGGAAGTGAAAGTTTCTAGATTTTTCATTTCCTTAAATCTTTTTCGATGCTTATGTTTTTTTGAGAGACAGAGCATGAGTGGGGGCAGGACAAAGAGAGAGGGAGACAGAATCCGAAGCAGGCTCCAGGCTCTGAGCTGTCAGCACAGAGCCCAACGTGGGGCTTGAACTCACGAACCATGAGATCATGACCTGAACCAAAGTCAGACGCTTAACCGACTGAGCCACCCAGGTGCCCTCTAGATCTTTCAATTCTGAGTCTATTGCCAGGCTTACCCAATTGTCACAGATTGGCACCTGAGAAAAAGATTACCTGGTAAATACTTAAGTATGTCAAAAACATCCATCAGAGGTTTGCTTCAAAGCAGTCCGTTCTGCCATATTATTGGAAACCTCTGGCACTGAGCCCGAATGTGATGTCATTTCATGGAGTTCCCCTTCCGTTTCACACTGACGTAATACTTCCTGCGACTCCCTGTAAGGCAGGATTTCTCCCCCTCAGCACTACTATTTGGGGCCAGATAGTTTTTTGTTGTGGGGACAGGGCTGTTGGATCTTTAGCAGCATTCCTGGCCCCTGCCTCCTCCGTGCCCCCCCATCCCCTGCCACCTCCTGCCCCCAGACGTTGGGTCAACCACTGACGCAAGGATAAGCGATGGGAAGAGAAATCTAAGTGGTCCAGGAAAACATAGTGAAGTTTCGAGATTCATGCCTTGGTATGAGCATGGCCACTTTGATGTATGACTAGTTATAAAGTATTTAATTACATGGGCGCGGTGACTTCTATAAGGCAGTCTTTTGTATAAAAAAAAACTGAAAAAGAAGAATTTCAGTTGGCAATTTGGAATACTTCCTAAGAAATTTACAAAACCATCTCTAGAACTGAAAATTCTCAAAATGTATTTTTTATCGAGTTACCACTTTTGATAACCAACCTTGAAAACACAACTGAACTCCTCCTACTTCTCCCCCCGCCCCCAACTTACACTTTGCATTTCGGTAACTTGAAACTGCTCTGATCACTTTCAAACGCACACATGTATTAGTACTTGGGAAAGCCTTTCTTGTCACGTTGCAGCCCAGGGCAAAATTTTATAGACAGGTTATCAACTCTGTGAACAATGGAGTTTACAATAAAAATGCTAATAAAACTCTAAGAGAGCGTGCCCTGGAGACCTACTTTCTGTATTTTCTTTGAAAAATGACAGGCAATTTGTGTGATGATTTCCTTGAGACAGATGTCAGCTAGTTCCAGTGAAGACATGTACCTTAAAATGTATGGCCAGCACTTTTTTCTAAGTCACGATTCAGTGAAACATTTTAGGTACGGAGACTGTCGCTCTTTTCCTGAACACTACCATCTAATCACTATTTCTGGAAACCTGCAGAACTGCTAGGAATTTGTTAAAGAGTAAGTAATCCTGTTTTTTCTTGACTGTTAACAAGCTTAATCCTTTATGTGTTGGGTAGCTTCTCCTGGACCCGAAATGGGACTCATTTTGACATAGATAAGGACCCTCTGGTCACCATGAAGCCCGGCTCAGGAACCCTCACAATCAACATCATGAGCGAAGGGAAAGCAGAGACCTACGAAGGGGTTTATCAATGTACTGCCAGGAACGAACGCGGAGCAGCAATTTCTAATAATATTGTTGTCCGTCCATCCAGTAAGTGGGACTTGTCCATCCAACAGGACCCTATTTAAAAGGTGGCTCTGAGACTCAGCATCTGTCACGTCATCCAGATGCTGGCACAAGAAAGCAGTGCCATTGATTCTAATACTCTCACCTTGTTTTGCGTGAAAATTATCGCTCCTTTCCACTGTACCCTAAGTTCCTCAGCCCAGTGCTTTGCCAACCCAGGATGTCTTTTCGGCAAGTCCAGAATAAAAAAAAACACCAGTAGTAAGAAAAGCGTTTCTTTCCTGATAATTGTAAGTTTTAAAAATATGAACTTTCTTCAAGGTTCTTATGATTGTTTGCTGTCACAATAAATTGATCAAATTATTGATTATCAATTTCCTGAATTGATCAAATTACTAATTTCTCACGTATCTTGTGTATGGACCAACTTCCGACAGCCAGATGGAAATAAATTCGTTATGAAATGGATAATGGGTAATTAACATTTTCGTGTCAAAGATTCCCTGGAAATAGAGTGGCCTCAAGCCTCGATATTATTATGGCTCTTTTTACAGTAGTTACTACCCGTGGTGTCTCAACAACGTGTACTCAAACAGCACGTATTTAAAGAACAGTAACCACTTGCAATTCTGGTCATTTTAAAAACCGTTTTTATTCCCTGTGTTCATCATTGGAAAAAATTACAAATAAGAAAAAAAGAAGTTGAAAAATCACGCATGAATCCTTCCACTCAATCTAGTAACCACAGCTCTTTCCATGTTTTCTAGGCAGATATGTATGTATGTGTTCCAAATGAGCTCATTCTGAAGTACTATTTTATAACCTATTCTGACTTACCTGCATATAATATATATTCTCATATCAATCTTATTATAAATAAGGATACTTAATATATAATATTGTATGATACTCACAGGTGTATATATACAATTATTTAACAAATCTTTTGACATTTGGTGCTCTCTAGTCTTTTTTTTTTTTTTTTTTTTTTTTTTTTTTTTTTTTTCTTTTGAGAGAGTGAAAGAGAGTGGATGCACTGGGGAGGGGCAGAGGGTAAGAGAGAATCTCGTGCACGCTCCGTGCTGAGCGTGGGCTCGATTCCATAACCCTGGGATCATGACCTGAGCCCAAATCAAGAGTCAGATGCTCAATCAACTGAGCCCCCCCGGGTACCCCTAGAGTTTTCCATTCTTTTGTGAAGAACACGCTTATAGCGAAATTATTATGTATCTTCTTAATGATTTATTGAATAATACAGATTTTTAAACATGGAATTGCTGAGTCTGCATTTATACTATTAATGGCAGTGAGTGAAAATCATCACATTTTGACTTTTAACATTGTATTTAAAAATTATTCCCTTGTTATCTTAATGCCTATAAATTCTGAGTTACTGTTTCCCCAAAGTTTATTTTGTCTTTCTTTCCAGTGCTCTTTTTATTTTTCAATGCAGAGATAACTTAGAAGTTATTATTTTATATCCTAGGGTCACCGTTGTGGACCAAAGAAAAACTTGAACCAATAACACTTCGAAATGGCCAGTCTCTGGTCCTTCCCTGCAGACCCCCACTTGGATTACCACCACCTATAATATTCTGGATGGATAATTGTAAGTTTAAAATGTTTTTAAGTTCATTTATTTATTTTGAGAGAGTGCGTGGGAGGGGCAGAAGAAGAGGGAGAGAATCCCAACCAGGCTCTACACTGTCAGTGTGGAGCCTGATGTGGGGCTCAAACTCATGAACCGTGAGATCATGACCTGAGCCAAAATCAAGAGTCAGACTCTGAACCAACTGAGCTACTCAGGCAACCCAGATAATTGTAAATTTTAAAAATATGAACTTTCTTCAAGGTTCTTATGATTATTTGCTGTCACAATAAGTTGTTAGCTCTCGTGATTCATAAAACGTTTATAAAATGTTTCAGAGATGCTCAGAATAAATACTCATTGAAAGAAACAACATGTCATGTGCAACATGATTTTCTTGAGCACCTGCTGTGAACCGGACATTGCTCTAAATAAACCAAATTCCCAGATTCCAAAGCAGACTCCAGGCTCTGTGAGCTGTCAGCACAGATCCTGACCAGGGCTTGAACCCACGAACCGCAAGATGACTACCTGAGCCAAAGTCGGAGGCTTAACCAACTGAGTCACCCAGATGCCCCTTCAAGTTTTGTTTTTTTTTTTTTATCACCAACAACAACTAATATTTATTGGGTATTTACTAAGTGCCAGTCCCTTTGCTGAGATCTTTATGTGAGTTATCTCACCAGTTTTTTACAACAACCCCATGAGGCATTTCTACTATATTCTTTTACCTTTTATTTAAAAAAAAATTTTTATTGGCATGTAATCAACATACCATGTCCTGTTAGTTGCAGGTGTACCTTATAGTGATTTCATATTTTTATACATTATAAAATGATCCCCACGATAAGCCTAGTTACCATCCGTCACTGTACAGAGTTATTACAATATTACTGACTTATTCCCTGGGCTGCACATTACCTCCCATGACTTACTTATTACTGGAAGTTTGTACTTCTTAATGCCCTTCATCTGTTTCGCCCACCTTACAACCCCTCCTTCTGGCAACCAACAGTTTGTTTCCTGTATCTGTTTTGTTTTTTAGATTCCACATATAAGCAGAATCATACGGTTTTTGTCTTTCACTGTCTGATTAATTTCGCTTAGCATAATACTCTCTGGGTCCATCCATATTGCCGCAAATGACAAGATCTCATCGTTTTTAATGTTGAGTGGTATTCCACTGTGTGTGTGTGTGTGTGTGTGTGTGTGTGTATACATATATATATGTATATGTATATATATATGTATATATATACCACTTCTTCTCTAATCCATTCATCTGTCGATGGACACTTGGGCTGCTTCCATATGTTGGCTGTTGTAAATAATGCTGCAGTAACATGGGGGAGTATATATCTCTGATTTTCATTTTCTTTGGATAAGTACACAGAAGTGGAATTACTAGATTGTAGAGTAGCTCTGTGTTTAAGTATATTTGAGGAATGACATTATTTTCCATATTGGCTGTGCCAGTTTACATTAATGCAGTGCATGAAGGGTCCCTTTTCTCCACCTCCTCTCCAACACTTTCGTTTGTTTTTTGATAATCATGCCTATATGGCTTGTGAGGTAATTAAACCTGTGGTTTTCATTTACATTTCTCTGATGAGCATCTTCTCATCTTTTCACTTTTATTTTATTTTATTTTATTTTATTTTATTTTATTTTATTAAGGTTTATTCATTTGTTTTTGAGAGAGAGAGAGAGAGAGAGAGAACAAGCCAGGAAGGAGCAGAGAGAGGGAGAGAGAGAATCCCCAGCAAGCTCTGTGCTCTCAGCGCAGGACAGGGTGTGGGGCTTGATCTCACAAACTGTGAGATCATGACCTGAGCAGAAACCAAGAGTCGGACGCTTGACGACTGAGCCACCCAGGTGCCCCTCATCTTTCTACTTTTAGATGAGGAAACCGGGGCACAGAGAATGGAGTCATCCATTAGGCACTTGAATATATGTCTGCTCCATCCCTAACCTTGAGGGAGTTTTGTTTTTTTGTTTTTTTTTTTTGCTGCCTCTCCTGCCCTCCCAAACCTCCTGTGCTAATAGTTTCTTAAAGGGACACATGGTTCTGCTTGGTGATAGGGAAGCCAAGGTTTAGGATGTGAGGGGCCTGTAAGAGAGCCAGGTGTAGAGACCAGGAGCCCCCCAGGGAAACCTGGAGGAGAAACCAGCCAAGCAGATAGATGAGAAGGAGAAGTCACCGAGGTAAGAAGATAGAGCTGGGTCCTCGGGATAAAGGGAAGCCAAGTGTCGAGAAGTCAGAACAATCAACCGTTTCAAAAGATCAGATAACTTCTGATCCGACTGAAAAACAGCTGTTGAATTTGGCAACATGGAGATCACCGTTGACCTCGACAAGAGTCCTGTACGTGGAATGGTGGGAAAGAATGCAAAATATCTGTAGGGAATATAGTCTATTTTCAGCAACATGATTTCCTCTGAATTCACAGACGTTACGCATTACTGAAGAGAAAATTTAGCTCTGATATTTAATTGCCATATTCAACTCTTCTATGAAATTACTCCGAGAAAACCTCACAATGCAATGAAAAATAAACATACAAGTGCATAAATGAGCAAACATATTTTCCTGTTATTGCATAACAGCTTTTTTTTAATGTTTATATTTGAGAGAGAGAGAGAGAGAGAGAGAGAGGCAGAGCATGAGCAGGGGAGGAGGGGGGAGAGGGAGGACACAGAATCTGAAGCAGGCTCCAGGCTCTGAGCTGTCAGCACACAGCCCGACACAGGGTTCGAACTCACAAACTGCGACATCATGATCTGAGCCAAAGTCAGACGCTTAACCGACTGAGCCACCCAGGCATCCCCATAACAGCTTTTTAACAGGTTTAGAAAGAAGCGGCAACAAATCAAATATAAATGAGCGGTGTATGACTTCAAAAATAACAGTATCCAAATGTCAACTGTCCAAACGAGGCCCAGTACTTGGTTCTTCTTCAGAAATGATGACCTTTTCACTTAATAAGCAGACAAATACATGCAAAGTTTCACAATCACGAGAATATGTCTTTTTTCCCCATATTGCACTGCTGGCTGTGTAATGTACATACATTTTAGGCTGTTGGCAAAGCCTTCACCTTTCAAATGAAATTGCATCTGGAATACGAGGGAAAAAATCAGATTTGTGTAGCATTCTTCTTGCAAGATGACGTTGTCAAGTTATTCCTATCTGCATGCATTTTTTTTTTCCTAAGTATAAGGCAAAGGCACTCTATGGGCAAGTGCTAGCACCCTCTCAAAGGCCTGCTCCCGTTAATTTGATCTGCCAACACCTATCCGTAATAAAATACAGCAGGAGGATTAGAAAAGAATAAATGCGTGCTTGTCTTTAACTCTTTGTATTCATTCAATAAATGTACCGTATTTTCCTGAGTTTTTTTTTTTTTCAACGTTTTAATTTATTTTTGGGACAGAGAGAGACAGAGCATGAACGGGGGAGGGGCAGAGAGAGAGGGAGACACAGAATCGGAAACAGGCTCCAGGCTCTGAGCCATCAGCCCAGAGCCCGACGCGGGGCTCGAACTCACGGAGCGCGAGATCGTGACCTGGCTGAAGTCGGACGCTTAACCGACTGCGCCACCCAGGCGCCCCTCCTGAGTTATTTTTAAAACAATCACTTCCGTGGGGACTCGTGGCCTATAATCATGGGTTTCCAACCACCTGCCAGACCCCCATCTTGACCAAGAACTTGACTAACATGGCTAACCAGTGTTCTTTCAAACTCTGGCTCCACATTTCCCTGCCCAAAGGAGCTTCAGGCCTTCAATCAGAATTCTGCATTTTGTGTAATGTTAGGTGGGACACCTTATGCAGGGGGAGCCACTGCTTGCCTCAGACTGGAGAATTCTCCAGAAGATAGAACACCTGGCCCGGGGCTGCGAGGATGGACAGGTTGACTAGTGCTCTCATTTCAGAGGCACAGAACTCTCAGGGCTCTGGGGACTGGGGCAGAAGCTTCAAGCCCAGTGTAAATTCATGCATAGATCAGAGGCCCCACTTCTCCAAACCTTTCACCTACTTAGGAAATCTTCCTTGGGGCACCCGAGTGGCTCAGTCAGTTAAGTGTCCGACTCTTGATTTCAGCTCAGGTCATGATCTCACAGCTTGTGAGTTCGA